ACCACACTGCTTGTGGATCAACATGAATTGCTCTCACTCCGGTCAATTCATTGTGATACCATTAAATGCACACAGGATTTTCAAGATGACCCATAAAGCAGACATGAGGAGGTGCACTTCATGACTCATACAAAAGCTTATAATGACCATACTGGATTGTGTAAGGAGTCTAATGATTAATTCTGTCAATAATAATACAGTTGTATGGCATACCACTACATAGCTTTGATTGAGGGGGATGCTTGCCTTGTAAGGGATACACGATGGAAGAAAATGGAAGTAAAGCTGTATAAAAATACAAACACCTTTACGGTAACAAAGGTTTGAGCAGAAATCTAAACAGTAATAACACAAGGTCTTTAGAATCCTCAGTTTCTGTAATGTTAATATTAAAGTTATAAATTTAAAAAGTTAAATTTTAGTTAAAACTAAATTATGTGTACAAAGCAACCATTTGGCAACTACACAGTGACAAAGTCAAAAGCTAGGAAGTCAGGTAAGAAAACACAAAATGCTGATGTTCAGACTGCTGGCAAAGTATGTTTCTCAATACCCTTGTATAATGGTTAGCCAAAAGAAGTTACAACCTAAGGTGCCAATCTAATGTAAATGTAACATATTCTAGAGACATGGTAAATATTTACCTTTACAGTTAAATCTCTGTTGAAATATTAAGAACAGCTATATTATATAAATGTTCTTAAGGATTCATAAAAGCAAAGCCTACAGAAACTGCACATATATATTCCATGTGAGGATCTCTGTATCTAGATTTCTGTAGTGATCTTTCAGTACTGTGAGGACACATATTAATAAAATAACTATGTCAGGACTGTAATCCACAGCTTTCACAAGTGAAACAAGTGACATCATATCTCTGGGCAGCTGAGGTGCCCAGCATATGATACATGTGACTTCCTTTAGTAGCAGAGCAAATCTTAAACTTTTGTCAGCTTTTGTCAATAATGGATAGCTCTGCAGTAAAAGCACTGAAGAAGACACAATGCAAACACAAATCAAATGTCATACTGTCAAGAATCCTTCCTCATCAGAAACTGCTTGACTAAGATTAGCACACTGCCTATGTTTAAGCTGAAAATTATTTCCTAAGACAGTATCTGCAGAAAACAGTTCAAAAGAAAGAATCTTTGCAAAAATAATATCCATCTAGTCTCTCAAAGATTTTGTTTGTTTGTTTGTTTACCAGTGATTACCTAGAACTACTTGCAGGTTTCTATTCCAGATTTTTGTTCTGATAGAATAACAAATTTAAGAACAATCAATTAACTGCTCTGTACTCTCTAATAATTAAAGTGCAGGCCATGAAATCCTAGATACTAATTTACCCAGCAGGTCCTCAACTTGTTCCTAAAAGGTTCATTCACACACTCAAATTTAACACGACCATCTATTAGTCAAGTCTATACCGGTGCTTCCTTGCAGACAGCAAACCAGCAGCTATTGCTCTGGTCTCAAAATGAGAGAGACTCATTACCAAGGAAGCAGACCCCTTTAGAATAGACTACTGGACCAAGAAGCTGAATAGAAAGGATGCAGGGATAGATCACGTCATCCCCACTTATAACTTTATTCCACCAGTGTTTAGAGTCTCAAAAGCTGTCACAGGTGAAGACAGTAAGTGAGAACCTTCCCACAGACCCAATAAAGGAAAATGAGAGTCTGGAACACTTGTCACAGGAAGGGAATTTATAGAAGACAGGTCAAGAAAAGAAGAAAAGTAATAAAATAGCACACATAACTGGACCAATATCTAGCTCAAAACATACAGATAACACACTTTGCTAACAATCCACATATCAGAAAAATAAGGGAAGGCTATTCAGAATCTATATTCTTTAATGTTACTTTAATATTCTTGCATATTGTGATATTGCATAAGTGATGAGGGTTATAACACTGAAATGTCTTACACTTAATTACCTCATCTGTTACCACAGACATTGCAGCCAAAAGAAAAAACGAAAAAGAAATCAGCTAATTCCTCTCAAGATTTCTGTTTGGCAATAAACATTCTTTTCATTCATTCTAGGCTTGACCATATTCTGCTAATTCTCAGTTGTTTTTAGACATCTTCCTGAAAGCTTTGAAAGCTGCTTTACAATCTGGCATGCAACACTACATAAAGTAGTTGTAAAATATTGACATTAACATTGTATTTTGCATCTTGTTATGCTTGACAAAAACAAAAGACCAGATGTTTTTACTTTAATATAAAAATAGATTAGCTATACAATTTAAAAGATGTCAAAGACTTAGTTAACTAGTGAGCTTGAGCACATTTCTTTAATAAGAAGAAAGTGTATTAACTGAAATTAAAACAGACATCAATCTAGTAGGTAAAACAAAACAGCACTTTTGTTACATTTATGGTTATTTACTGGAATTTACTGGGCTGATGTTGCTGAAATTTTATCTGTTAAAACATGCTACCAAAGTTTATCAACTAGTTCTAAAAACTAAATATTACTATAGTATTTAATACACCATATACATTTTGAGATTATTATATTGAAACTAGAAAAGAAAGCTATTCTACTGATTTATGTCAGAAATAAAGTTGAGATTTTCACTGCTAACTCAAAACATACTACCTGAGGGATTCCATAACAGTTCATAAAATCTCTTTGTTTTTAAAAGGTATGGTCTGTGGTATATATTTTCTACGAAGAAATAGAAGAACACATGTAGCATCAGATGTGTGTACTTTAAGAAACTCTGGAATGTGAAATCTAAAAATCCAAATAAAGCAGGTGGTATAATTTGGGGGGGAGGACTGAATTTAAGTTTAATGACATTACCAGGTTATCCTACCAGACTAATTCTCACTCACTGCATGACTTCAATGAAGCTCTCAGTCCTCATGCTGATTTCGATTTAGTTCAAGTGCTATTTGATGCGTTTCATCTGGAGTTTTATTCACTTCAAACTACACTTCATTTAACCAGGCTGCTGCTGTACTCATTTGGTTTTCTACTTTATTACCCACAAATTGGTGTTGCTTAGTTTAGGTAAATTGTTGGAATAAGTTAATTTTATATAATTATTTCACACTGTTAATAAATAAATAAGCTTTAGAAAGATATCCTATCACAAAACGAGAAAGCTATTGAAATTATTTTAAAATACAATACACCACAATAAGTGTTGCTCTTACAAGATATACTAATAAATGCTGATAGATTATTTGCTATTTTAAGGCAGGACCATTCCTCTGCCTCCACTCCCCAAAACTACTGCTTGTTTTTGGTTTTCTATGTTATTAGTCTACCGTACTTTATTTTCCAGCTGGGCACACACTGTAATACAATGTATTTTTAAAAGAGAGAGAGAAAGAAAGAGAGTAAGATAGAAAGCATGAGAGAGAAGCAGAGACTGCACAAGTAGGAGAGAATGCAAGCGCAAGACCGTGCACATGAGATAGAGTGTGATGGCAAGCGTGGAACAGCGCATGTGGAAAACCGCAAGAAACCAAGCATGAGCGAGCAAGAGATAGAGCGCAGTGAACACAAGCACACACAAAAGAGAGTGCAAGTGCACTCATGAGAGAGTACTAGCGCTTGAATACCATGAACTTGCCAGATGACAGATTTTTTCCAACCATTTTTCATCTCTAAAAAAATTTCTTTTGTTTTGCACAACTAACCATGGGTTTTATAATGTACTAAATAAATCTAAGTTTGCATTTAAAAACTAATTTATTTCCACAGTTTACTAACAAGGATCATTAACCAGAACTTAGTGTTAAACATCATGTCATGTCAGGAAAGGCTGTCAATCCTACCAGAGTACTGAGGTACTCTGATTAGTGCCAATTATGGGTTATCCTGGTAACATTTATTATTTTATAGCAAAACGCCGCAACAGAATAGCAATTCATTTGAAGTGGTTAGTACTTTTGTAAACTATTGATGAAAAATATGAGAAAGTCAATTAGGCTGCTACCACCTGGTGGTGTGCTGATTGCGCTAAAAACCTCTTATATTTAACATGGTGTCACAGCTTGTGAGAGATAAACTAACATATTCTCTGTGTAGCACTACGAACAATCATAGACAGCCTTTTTTTTTTTTACAATCCATTAAACTTTCACAAACAAATGACTGTTACAAATTAGCTATACAACACAGAATGTTTGAAGCAAAAATATTTAACACATTAACCTGTTTTCCTGTTATCTTGTCATTTTATGTAAGGTTCTTCGCACGGATTTAGTCATAAAGTAGTATTACAGACAGCTATTGCTCAAAATGAGGGATAAAGAAAACTAATGTCCTGTCCAAAGTACTGCCAAAACGCAATACTTTATAAAGTATTATATATACTATATATATACACAATTTTATAAATACAATTTATTAATAAAAACTATTACACACTGACATTTATGATCACAAGACTTAACCTGTAGAGCTAAATTTAAATACTGAATTTCCATGGCATTAAAGTTAAAGAAAAAATTATATAGCTCATTTTATAATGAAGCACAAAATTGTCTTCAGAACAAAAGTGTTTACATTTAAAATCTGAACTACTACAAACAGCTTAATACCTGATCACAATGTTAAAGCACTTCCAACTGTAATGAGTAACAGAAATAAAAGTCTTCTGGTTAAATAATACAAATAAAAGTATTTGGTTGAGTTTAAAACAGAAAGAGCTGACCTGTTCAGTTAAACACATCAAGCTTGCCTTCAGCTTTTGTATCCACTCAAGGAAGAATGGAAACTGGTTCACAGAATTCTACAAGGTCTAGAAGAAAGCCATTTACTACAGGGCTTGCGTAGCCTGTTCTCTCAACCAAACAAGGGTCTAAAGCTTTTAAAAACAGCTATCCTTACAAAGAAATTTATTCATGATAACAGACAATAATAGAATACAACAGAAGAGACAGAGAAGTTTAGGGATATATATGGAGCTTGGCATTTTTAAACCATTCATTAGACAGGCAAAGTAGTTGATTCAGCACACTGAATGCTCACCAATATTTGGGAAACTTGATCAGCTTGCCATAAACAGCAGTACTGAATGAGGGAATAACTGGAACAGGGAAGCAGTACAATCCTTTACTATCCAAAGAAGTCAGTGCTGCTTGAAAACCAAATATCTGAAACAAATTAAGCTGGTCAAAGGGTATACTATCACATGATTAGATCACTTTCAAGTTACTTCTATAACATAATATACACATTTTTAAATCTACTCAATAAATATGAAATAAATTGTGTATTATTTTTAGATAATTCCTTTTCCCCCGAAACACAAATATAACTAGAAAAATCTACCTAAAACAATGTCCCAATAGGAATACCTATAAAAATATTTTCTTCGCTCAAAAAAAATAAGTTTTAACTACACTCTGCTGATTTTTAATAAAATGCTGAATTATAATTTATCAACTGAAATACATTATTCTATATCCTTTAAATTTGCAGATTGCACATTGCCTTTCATATACAATAAATAAAATCACTTTTTGTAATTATAATAACATTGGCCTAAAAAAATGGTATTTAAGGAAATGAGAACCTTCCCTTCAAAGCTTTTTTCTTGATAAGAGCATCTAAAGAAAGGTTCACCACAACTATTCTTTATGATTTTTCTCTGTTCAATATGGAAAATAAATGGCTGTAGAGTTGACTTTTTAACATGCTGTAACACCATCACATAAGAACAGAACGCTTTGACCTATATTAAAGCTAGCAAATAAACCCTATAAAACTCAAAATTGAAGTCCACATTTTGCAAACACTGATCAAACCGCTGCTAAAAACTTTTTGAATAGAAAAAAATCCCCTCAAACTGAGAAACATACAGATGACTTGCAATATTGCCATCCCAATCACTTTAAATGTGACAGAAGGTAAACATGTCACCCAGAAAACTTAAAGCTTACCATGCAATTCGGGACAGAATTTGTTTTATGCAGATAGTAAGAATTTCACTGTTTTAATCTCTATTAAGATATCAGAATGGAAGTGAATGGACTGATGTCCTGGTTTTGGCAGGGATAGAGTTGATTTCCTTCCTGGTGGCTGGTGCGGTGCTGTGTTTTGGATTTAGGATGGGAACAAAATTGATAAGGCACTGATGTTTTAGTTGTTGCTAGGTAATGCTTACACTGGTCAGGGACTTTTCGGCTTCCCATGCTCTACCGACTGAGAAGGCTGGAGGGGCACAAGAAGCTGGGAGGGGGCACAGCCAGGACAGCTGACCCAAACTGGCCAAAGGGAGATTCCATACCATGTGACGTCATGCTCAGTATATAAAGCTGGGGGAAGAAGGAGGAAGGGGGGGACGTTTGGAGTGATGGTGTTTGTCTTCCCAAGTAACCGTTATGCGTGATGGAGCCCTGCTTTCCTGGAGATGGCTGAACACCTGCCTGCCCATGGGAAGTAGTGAATGGATTCCTTGTTTTGCTTTGCTTGCGTGTGTGGCTTTTGCTTTACCTATTAAACTGTTTTTATCTCAACCCACAAGTTTTCTCACTTTTACCCTTCCGATTCTCTCCCCCATCCCACCATGGGGGAATGAGCGAGCGGCTGCATGGTGCTCAGTTGCCGGCTGAGGTTAAACCACGACAACTGAAAAATTTAGCAAAATTAACAGTACTAGTAGTAAATATTTACATTTTAGTAGTACCCAAAAGGTTTCAAACTGCCTGAGCACATCCTAAAAGGTTGGAAGGCCTGTTTTAGAACTCCTCTTGAGATTTCACTTTTTCATTCTACTAAAATCTCAGCAGATGGCTACTGAAAAATGTCAAAGCAATTTTTCAGTAGCTTCTTAAACTGCCCCCAACCTCACAATAAGAAATCCTCTCACACAATGGATCTTTAACTGAGAACATTCAGAGGGTTTTCCTCTTATAATGAAAAAAAAAAATTGCTTGGCAACAGTGTTTGATTGCATACCTTCACTATCATGGTTTTGCTCTATCAATACTACTAAAAGTGATGTTTTTTCCTCATAACATCCCATCTAGTTTCTAAGTGTAATTCATCGCGATCTACATATTCTATGAGCATTATCCTAGAAGAGGGGAAAGGTTTTGTTCCAAATTATTTTAACTCAATCTTGCTACAAAGACCTTCGGGCTTCAGTCTGCGTAGTTTCCTCATGTGAAGTTCTCTGTTCGTATTACAAAACATTTGGCTCAGGTCAGAAGCAGCAATCCCAAACAACGACATTCTGTGAAATGTGTTTATGTCCTTTTAGATAAGCTGAAAACTTTCTCCCAAGAAACCTGCTAACACTTAGGATTATCTATACTTATATTAACTTTTTCTCAGCACACTGCAATAAGAAACAGATCTCAAGCCTTCTTTTACCTTCAGATAGCAGTGTGAATAACAGTAATGAAGCAGGTTGTCAGATGGCTGGCCAAGGCTGCTGACCATGTGCACCAGTTGCTCAGCATACATCGGCACCGAGTGCTCCAGGTTAACTTTATCCACCAAGATTCGGACAGAAGGTAAAGGCCGCAGGGGCTGGAAGCTTGCGGCATTTAACAGTCCACTTAAGTTCTAGGGGAGGGGGAAAAAAACATGCAATTATTACACTACAGATATATTATCTACCATATTTACATATTCTTACCTCCCCACACACACAAGCAAATCTACATGTAATAAACTGTTTACAGATACCATGGCCTTATGGTCATTATAATATGAATCCTCAAAACTTTTCAAAATAATTTCTTCAAAGTTTAAAATTTATGTATAAACTTTTTATCCGTAATTGTATTGGGTGTAGGTGCCCAGGTGCTGGCAGCAGGGGGGCTGCAGGGGTGGCCTCTGTGAGGGGAGACCAGGGGCTACCCTGTGCCAGTCCAGCTGGTTCCAGCCAGTGCTGCAACAGCCCCACCGCAGGACACAGTGAGCCCATCCGCCAAACTGGTGGCACCTCTATGGAAACATATTTAAGAAAGGGCAAAAATGCCACGCAGGCTGAGAGAACTGAGGGGAAAAAAGTGAGACACAGCAGTATGAACAGCAAGGTCAGAGAAGAAGGAGGGGGAGGAGGCGGTGCTCCAGGCAGCAGAGCAGATGTTCCCCTGCTGCCCATGGAAGACACCACGGTGGAGCAGATATTTCCCTGCAGCCTGTGGAAGAGACCACATCGGAACAGATATTCACACTGCAGCCTGTGGAGGACCCCACACTGGAGCAGGTGGATATGCCCTGAAGGACACTGCAGCCTTGTGGAGAGCCCACGCTGCAGCAGATTTTTCCTCAAGGACTGTGGGAAGAACTCACACTGGAGCAGGGGAAAAGTGTCAGGAAGAGGGAGTGGCAGAGATGACCTGTTATGGACTGACCGCAACCTCCAATTCCCCATCCCCCTGTGTTGCAGGGTGGGAGGTAGAAGAGTCAGGGAATGAAGGAGTGAAGCTGAGCCTGGGAAAAAGGGGGGATGGGGGAAAGGTGTTGCTTTGATTCTTGTCTGTTTCTCACTATCCAAATATATTTTAATTGGCAATAAATTAAATTCATTTTCCCCAAGTTGAGTCTGTTTTGCTCGTAATGGTAATTGGTAAGTGATCTCCCCTCTTTATCTTGACCCATCCTATTCTCTCCCTCCTGTCCTGTTGAGAAGGGGCAGTGAGAGAGTGGCTGGGTGAGCAGCTAGCAGCTGGCCAAGGTCAACCTAGTACCGGAATACGCAAAGTATTTTGTTCTATAAAATATTTGCTTACATTTTTATCACTCCAAAGCGCTATCACCATGCTAAACTCATGCTGATCTAACTTTTACACTGCCATATATTATTATGTATTCACAGTCATGCCAGACATCTCAGCAAAAAAAGATGCCATTCCAAAAAAAATAAATATCACAATTTTAAACATCCAACTATATTTTTCATGGTATCCATTAAAATTAAGTACTGTATCCAGTACAAGAAAGACATGGACATACCAGAATAAGTTTGTTGGAGGGCTACCGAAGTGGTTATGGGGTTGGAGCACATGAGCTCTCTCTCAGGAGAGCCTGAGATAACTGGAGTCATTCAGCCTGGAGAAGGCCAAAGGGAGATCCTACTGCTGTCTACAGCTGCCTACTGGGAGGGTATAGAGAAGAGGGAGCCAGACTCTTATCAAAGGTATACTGTGAGGGGACGAGTGGCAATGGACACAAGCTGAAACACAGGCAATTCCAAGCAGGTCTATGGGAAAGCTTTTTATGGCATCTCTATTCTTGGAGCTAATTCAGCTTTTGACTGGACAACCTCTGCAGCAACCTGCTCTACTCAGGCTTGCTTTGAGCAGGATTTTGGATCCCTGGAGATCATCTCCAGAGATCTCTTCCAAACCAAATTACTCCATGAATCTGAAGATTTTATTAAACTTGTATCAAAATAGGACAATAAGCTGATGTATGTACGACTTCCAGTCTAAAAGTCAAAATTATTATTGTTTTAAATAGGCTTGACTTCACTCAGGAAACGTAAATTGAAACTCCAAGTAAAAAAAAAGTTCACTTGAATTCAACTTGTTTGCCTCACACCTACAACAAATATGGGGCTGTTCTCCCATTATAAAAATACCGTCTGCCCATGCCCATAAGGTAAAAAGCACCACAATCCATTGGGCTATTCGAGGCTGAAAGGAAATAATGCTTCCCATTAGGCACCTGGTAATGTCCCATTTCCTAATATTAGAAGCTTCTGAATGTATCCTAATACATCAAGAGATAACAGATTTGCCACCAGTTCACTCACTCTAGCCAGCTTAACTGAAAAGATAAGCAGTCTAAATTTAAGAAGATACACACTACTTAAGCACACTCACCAAATAAATGGCACAGACTTGAAATTTTATATATGTTGCAGTCTAGAGACTAGAGATCCAAGTGAAGTATTAATGTGTATGTCATTGTGTTTCACTTCACCAATGAAAAGGTTATACAACCACATTATAAGAAACGCCATAAATTAAGACTTTCCATATTCTGTCCTCTTCTGCATACACATACAATCTTAAACCACATAAACATGCTGTAAATAAGCACATTTTATAAGAAAATACAGCATAAGTTAGACAGTGCTCCCCTAGTCAGCAGGTATCTATTACGTTATCAAGATAATTTAATGTCATTGTGCCTTCTATCATGTAATACTACTCAAATCCATCTCGGGGGGTGGGGGGAGGGGGAAGTAATAAACTTTTTCAAATGGTTTTCACCTTTCTTACATATAAGTGGTTCACCAAGACTAACAAGGCTCCTTTCACAACACCTTCAAAATATACAACTTCATCTCCATTTTAGACAAGAACTTATCATTGAAAAGAAAGGCTGACACAAAAATAATTCACTAATTCTGGAAGTCAGTTTGAATGCCAATTTTTGAATGTTTAGCCCAGCAAAGTACTTCACAAATAAAAGGCTAACTCCCATTGCTTTAATTGGAACCACAGATACTGAGAACTTCTACAAAATACATCCCACTAAAAAAAGCTCGTCCTCAATACAGACACATGTATTTAGTGTCTGCTTGTGAAAAACACATTGGAAGTGTTTAATATCAGATAAAAATTCCTAGAAACTGAACTCAATCAAAAATAGATTTTTTTTTTTCCCCTCTTCTTCCCGTCCTCCCTTATCCATAAAACACCTTCCAGCCTCTGCCGCAAGAGGTAAACCTACTGCAAAGTCTTCACTACAAAACACTGATTCATCCCTACAGTACCTCAGCATTGTGCACTGAGGAAGGAGCCCTGTAGGAATAAAACCAGTATGGGATTCTTTAGCTGGAGATACCCAGAAGATAAAACAAATTAAGGCTGTTAGAAAATTTCATTTCTGGCTCTCTGAGCTAGTCACTCAGAAGTTAAATGCTCAGTAACAGCCAAAGTCCTGCTGGCATCCTGGCTGGAACTAGTACACAGAGAGCTGGCTGTTAACATCTATGAAGTCTCTACTGAGCCTATGTATTCGAAGATTTCAGACTTGACCAAGTTCAGGAGGACCTGCATGGCAAAATGACAACAGGTATTCTGATTGAAAAGTTTCCATAAAAAAAAAAAAAATTCAAGTCGGAGCTACTTCTTTTTAATCTGCTTGATGATGTAAAATCTTTTTTCTTCCAAATTCTTTTTTCCTACCAGTACACGACACCTTCAGTTTACAAGTCTAGCTATTCACCGCACACACCACTCATCTTAGGTATCTGAAGGGAAGGCTCAGGAGCACCAAATTCATTTGGAACTCAGTAACACATCTGGCACATGGAATAACAGCCCAGTGAGAAAATGTATATGAAATAGCACATGCTGATATAAAGAACTGAATAAATATCTGCACATACATACCTTCTCACCCATGATTATGGGCATCAGGTGGTCTAGTAAATTGAATTCTGCCACAGGGATTATAATCGTACACTTAAGAACAGTGAAAGTTGTAAGTCGAGTGGGAATGTATTCCTCCAATAATGCTACTTCTTCTGAGCTTGGCATAGCTCTATTTCCGTCCATAATATCTACAATAAATCAAGATTACATATGTTTTGACTAAAATATATAAAATATCTCCTACAGTTGCTGTTTCAGAAATGATTAGGGACTAGCAAAAAATGGAAAGCATCCCCCCCTCCCAGTTAATTTTATTTGACAGTGTATTTAGCCTTAAGTAGAACCAATTGTAACTGAATTTTCCTTACTTTGAAATCTGTATAGCTCTTTCTCAGAAACTCATATTAACAGTTTACCATAGCTTGTTTCCATGCATTTTTATAATATATAACTATTATTTCAAACTAATAAATATGTACCAACAGGGATACTTTCTTCTCTAAGACTCCAAAACTAAGCTAGAGTTGCCAATGAAATAAGCCCTCCTTACGCAACAAGAGGCTTGTAATTGAAATGAATGGCCCCCAAAGTGTCTGAAATTATCTCAGAGGTATATCCAACACTCATGGGGATATTGCAACTCATTTTATCGTTATTTTAAATTTTGCTCTTTGGACTCATAAAATCGCCTGGCAGATTTGGAGTTTAATTATTTGGAAGTTGCACCTTCAAGAACACTGAATTTGGTCTGGTTTAATTCTGTATATTTGCATATATGCAATAGGGGCAAACCTGGCTTAGTTCTGCTGTATGGCTCATATTCATGTTCCAGAGCACAAACTATCATTTTCATTATCCGGTGTACCGCACTGCTATCCAATCGAAGATTGAGTGGGCCCACAATGAGGCTTTTTGTAGACATCTCCTGAACATTTCCAAAATCTTCACTCTTTACTGAAGAAAGGTCTTGCTGATTCCCAGAAACTACAAGAAGTTTTATAAATAACAACAAATTACACCAAATAATTGGATATAATAATTTTTTTTATCGGCTACTTTTGTTTCAAATCCTGTGATCAGAGACTTATAAATATACAGAAAATATAACAATGCAAATTGAACACATAAACATACCATGACTGGTTTAACATGTTTAAACAAACATTATTCCTATTTAATGCAGAGCAAACAGAGTAAGATTCTGCCTTGCCTCCAAGCACAGCACAATTTAGGAACCTTTCCATTAACTTTGTATCTCTCAAGCTTGGGACTCTCTCAAAGTGTCCAGACTATCTCCAAACTTCTGTTGCAACTTAAACCCAGGTGCCAATGGCAGCTGTGCTGTTCAAAACTTGCTACAGTTTATCACAAAGATATCCACCCCAAGCAGTAAAGGAAAAGGTGTGCTGCGAAGCAACTACAGATATGGGCCCTTGAAGTGCCTGCTGCTGGTACACGGACTAGAACAGCAATGAGAATCACACTTATTTGTATTGTCATAAACCAGACTGACCCTTCCTTCCATTCACTGATGAGGTAAAGCACGGCAGCAAGAATGAAAACTTCTTTAGTCTTTATGTCTCAGACCATTTTTAGAAGGACCGCCACAGAGATAAAAGGGTGGTTTAGTCTCTGCATCCAAAAGATCTATAGCTTTTGTGCTCAGAATGGCAACTAATTAAAGTATAGTTATTGTTTTTCTGATATAGATGTAGGGTAATGAGGTAGACTGAAGTCACACATGCACTGTATACAGGCTACTCATCAGCTATCAAACAGTATGACTACGTTTTCTCTAAACATACTTTACGGAAAGTCTTCCGTTAAATTATGCAAATTTCAGAAGCTTCTTTTCCTGTTACATATGGCTTGTAAAAAGTTACCCTCACCCCTTTAACATATTTGTTTGCAGAATTTTACTCATTTTTTTTTTCTTATAGATCATCACTTTGACAGTGTCTTCATTGCTTTGACACAAGCACTAAACGTTAAACGTCTTGCTAACCATTACACAAATGAACAGTCTGACAAAATAAGGATCAAGATTAAATGGATTCTGAGACCACTTAACCTATAAAAATGAAGAAGTTCTGAGATAAAAATTGTAGGATGACAGTTTCATTCATTCAGTGAATCTGGATGGCACATACTCCTTAGATCCACAGTACTCCACAATCCACCTGGTTAAAGCTGTGACAAAAAGGAAAGCCAGGAAATGCACAGCCATTGCCATCAATTTCACCTTGGTTTCCACAATTTAACACATCTGCAATTGCAAAGCTGTCCATTTGATATGTTCTCCTTGTATTCATGATCAAGTCATGCCACAGAAACCAAAGTCTGTGTAAGCAGTGGACTGACTTCTTCCATGATGATCCTTCTCAATAGTAATATTTTTCAAGTGATTTCCAAGCTCTTATCCAATGCAGATCTTGTTACACCTACGCCATACAAGATAGATCGCATCCCTTCCTCTTTTCACCCGTCTGCCGGGATGCAAATCAACCTATTTCCTTGCATAAATCTAATAACCTCCTGGCTTTCTGTTACAGTAACAAACTAAACATACCTCTAGAGAACTATGACCCAAAACCCACAGGATAATCTGGCAATTCCAAATTCTTGTTATACAATCTTCCTGACTGACACAATGTGTCCATACTAACCTAATGGCAAGACAAGCTCAGCTCGTCAGACTTGGGCAGTGGGAGCTGCAGCTGCTGCAGACAGTTGACCTACCCACTCTGTCAAAGAGATGTAGGATCTGTCAACTTCTGAGTAGCTGAGGCTTTGTGGTTAAGCAGCCTGGCATGGTGTGCTTCACAGCTTCAAGGCAAATCTTACTTTTAAACCAAGTGGAAGAAAGCTTGTTTTATTTCTGGTTGCCTGAGAGGAACCTAGTCATCTTTCAGCCTCCAGGAGAACACTCCCTTTTCCCTCCCTCCTTTACTGTACTCATTCAAAACAGTCTTTTTAACAGGGGAAGCGAGCTTCGGGGAAAAGGAAGGAAGGATAGGGGTTTTTTCCCATATGTTTAAATCATAATCTATAAAACGTTCTTGCTTCTAAGCACTAGTGAGGAAAAGATTCCCGAATAAACTGAGGCTATGCCAAATTTGACACAGAACTGGCCTAATGCTCTGCAGGCTTCTACAGGCCTATATATTCAGGAAAAGAATTAACTCTGTCCCTAAAAGTCCAACAGAAGTTGATGGTGAGAGCATTCATAGCCTCTGCTTCCCTTGGTGTTTTGTTCACCATTTATCAGAAGGAAAAAAAAAAAAAAAAAAAGGAAAAAAGGACAGAAAGATACTACCTTATAAAGTCTATTCAAATTTTCAGATGGAGCTGAAGTTACAACCTTTTTAATAAATCCTGAAAAAGACCTTTGTTTAAAAAGCCAGCATACAGCCTGCTGTCAGGGTGTGCTTTATTTAATATGCAGTTAACACACATTTTTGTCCTTCCAATTCTACACAGTATCCAGTTCAGATGAACACTATTAAGTAGTGTAAAAAACCATAACCTCACATAAAAAATATCAAGGCCAAAAGCCTTTAGAAGTAATAACAGCCTACCTTTTAAAAAAAAAAAAAAAAAACCCAACCAAACTCATTTGTATATATTGTATGTATATGAATAATATACTGAAGTGACAGCATTTATACAAACCACTTTCTGAAATAGTTCCATTTAATTCTCACTAAGTGCAAAGAGAATGTGATAGAAAACCTATCACATTCTACAGAAGCAGGCGATCGCAGGTTACTTTTGAAACTTCACAGATGCATAAAGGTAAATAATTTCTGATCACTGAGTATTCAGCACTCCATAAACCATATGTCTAATTCTAACTGACAAAAAAAAAATCTTAAAATGAGAGTGCTGCATAACAAACTTGCCACCAAAATAGATAGGTACACATTATAAACAAAACATAACTTCAAAGATACACCCTGTTAGGTCTGTAGGTCATGCAAATCAGTGATCAGGGAACGGGTAGTAATTTCCCTGAAACATCGTGTAGCCTATTTTGTATTGAAATATAAATCAAAAAATAGAAAAATAAAGTTGGAAGGGAAGGACAGACAGAATTTCAAAATAAGACTACTGTGCATGACTATCTATCTTGTTTTCACTCAAAATACTAGAAGTGATTAATGCACTTCTATAAGTGACAGATGAAACTCCTGAGGTTAATGTTATCCATGAGGCACTTGCAGTTTAATCAGTAATCATATGCTTCGGGAAAGGTTAAAGGGGCAAAGAAGGTGTCAAACCAAAGTTGCCTTGACAGATAAAGATCTTACAATCACAGTAACTGCCTCCTATAACGTAAGTTGGGTTAGATTTTTTAGGGGAAGGTGGTGTGCACTGATTGTAACTAAAAACACAGTTAATGTCAAAACAAGAAATAGTAAAATGTAAACTTTTACATAAATACTTTCATATAAACACCACATATTAAAAATATAGCAAGTTTTATATTTTCAAAATCTTGAGGTAGTTATACCTTCATTTCAAATGAAATGATTTATACCTATTTATTCACAAACTATTTAATAATTATGTACTTGACTCACAATACGGAAAAATTAGCTAGAAAATAACTAGCAGAAAATGTCACATTTGCTTTTCTGAGGAACAAAACTATTTGAAAATTTAAGGTTTTAAGTTCTTGGTTCTAGAGCTATAACAACCATTTAAACCATTAATTTAAAGATTAATTACTCTAGTCACTCTTTTATGTAGTCATATAGCTGAAATTAGAGGAGTAATACTGAAATAAAAGCACACAGCAAGGCTTGACAGGAAGCCAAGCTACATTTTGTGAGGTGTTTTCCTGGTGACTGATGCAGTAAATAAAAGCCAAGGCCCTGAGAAAGCAAACTGAAAGAAATAGAAGAGAAGCTGAAGAGGGGAAAAGGTAGTCAGAAAATACCAGTAACCTGGCCTTGAGGGAAAAAAAAAGTGTTTCTGAGTTCAGCAATTTCTGAAAAGGGTAGTTACAGTCAGAAAATGGTATGTCATTAAATTCCTTGTGCATTCAGAGAAACAAGACAAACTACTCCACAAAAATCAATTTTTCCTCATAAATAATCTGTGCATATTCAAATTTCTATACTAAAATTCAAAAAGGAGATAAGGCTTACCCTAGGTCTTTAGCTTCTCTACATAAGAGTTCTGCATTCAATTAAAGAGTTATTTCTTTATTAAAACCAGAAGTAGACTGCAGGAGAAGCTTGATTTAATGTACATTTTCTCAGCTTCACATCACACTCACAGCACAGAGCAGAAAGCCTTGGGGCCAGGAAAGAACTGTTAAATTACCTAGTGCATCCCTCTACTATTGAAGGCAATAGCATCATTTATTTCTTTCTATAAGCTTTGCATGATCCATCCTCTAATCAAAGTGGAAGTTTTTCTTTCCTACACCTTTTATACTTAATGTCCAACAAGTCCAGAAAACACAAACATTAGGAGTCGAGAATTCTCTTACGTAGAGACAAAAACACACAAAAAACCCAGATGAGTTGGACTAGGTAGCAAGGACAGATAAACGTTCAGCCACAAAATAGCAAGAAGTTCCCAACAGATGTCCATAGAAATAGTGTTCATGATCATGAACACACAGGTGTGGAAGAAAGCATTATTTGAGCAATAAAACTGCAGAACAGCAGCTGTAGATGACAATCTTCCCAGGGCTGGGGGGAAATCACATCACAATTCATGAGAAGAATATCTGTATGAAAATATATACATGTTACTTGCTGATACATTAAGTCCTTTGTCCTGACTTTTGTAACACTCACAAAAGTAGATATACTTACTGCACTGAATCCACTGTATTGTCTCAGATTTAGAAAAGAAGTGATAGGAATCCCAAAAATTACTTAGAATTAGCCAATATCTATGTGTGCATAGTTTAGGCTAATATTTGCTCACAAAATTGTTCAGATATGTGTATTTAAAGATTAATTCTCCACACTATCTCTCATCCTTACATTTTTCTTCATAGGAGAAAATGACAGTCCTTTTCATCTTCTGCACCAAGTAGATCAACTTTATTCTTCAACCAGGTTTCTCAAAAGATTCCCCCCCCCCAAGTCAATAACGACAACAACTTTAAAAAAAAAAAAAGGACATCACACTTTATGAACTTCACCACTGCTACAAGAGAATTATTTTCTGTTTGGCAACTGACTTTAAAAGACATCATTGTGATTAGTTATGCAGGGGAAAAAAAGGAACACCACCAACAATCAACAGCTAACCAAAACAGCTAACCTCAAACACATCAATGAAGATGAAACCATTTTAACGATGAACCTGATGGTAAATCTAAGGTAAGTTAGAGGACAGTTGGTCAAGGACCAGCTGGGCATGAAAACTCTTTGTTTCTGTTATTTAACAGGGTAAACATAGAAAAAGAGGTACCTTTGCCACTGGTGCTTTCCATTGTGTACAAGTAATCCATGTAGAAAGCCCCAAACCTCTGCATTCCAGCTATCTCTGTGTACGTCTCCTACCAACAAAGCAAAGCAAACAAAGAAAACGTTGTATAAGGAAAGAATCTTGAGATTACCAACTGATAGGTTGGTATGAGAGAGATATATTCATGTTTGGATTTGTGCATCAACACACGGAAAGGCTTATCAAAACAAAGGACAGAGGTTATCCCAAAGAATTCACCTTTCCGATAGGTAATGTAACTTCTATTTGAGGCCACACAAAGGCACATCCATAATTCCAGTGGACATCCTGACCAATTCATCAATAACATCTAGTTAATTAGTACCTTTAATGGAGTAAATATTCTTCACTTGACCTCTTGTATCGAACAGATCTGCCTAATTAAATACACTGAAAACTGAAGCTCATTCATTCTGGCTTTTTTATTTAAGGAATATTGTAGTTTTATCTTTAAACAGTAGGAAACTTATTACGACTTTATGCTATCATTAAGATTTATACATAATATAATCCATTATCACACAGCAAGTTGGCTTCCCCTCTTGCCAAAAAATAAGCAAATCATAAAAGCGAAGACAGGCCAAGGAAAGAGTAAAGCTTAAAAGTAAAACACACTATAGAAAATGTTTGAATATATGTAAGTACTTGTGATTTCACTAATTAATTTCATTTTTTTATGAGTTTCTTCAGCATTACACTTCATCAGTAGTACTAAAAAGGTGAAAATAGTAAAATTTAACTTTAAGAGAAATTAGATATATTCAATATTGTAAATGGCTTACCTGAACACAGAGCACAGAACTCCACCTATGAACACAACTGGAAGGGACCACCTTGGTCATCGCATCCAGTCTTTAATGATTGCAGACACTCAGGGAATAAAGTTTTACTGCACAATTTACAACAGCAGAGACTATTGGTGACTGAAAATTTGTCGCTACCAAAGGCAGAATTACCAAGACTTCCTCTAAGTAGACAAATATAGCACACAGACAATAAAATTAACATTGCCCAAGATCCAGTTTCCAAGAGAGCACTTCTTAGTTTGAAGACCGTGAACTACTTACTGATTGGGTTCAAAGAAGTATGTGCTGGTAAAGCTTGACCTTTTGCTAGCATTCTCTCATATCTCTGTTCTTCTCTGCAGGTGTTCTGTAGTTAGTTAATGCTTTTGGAAACTATGTCATTAATTCAGCTTTTGGGGCAGGAAGGGAGTTTGAGGTTTCTTTTGGACATGTTTTTCTTAATTTTTTTTTTTTTTTAAAGACAAACAGGTTTACCTTTTTTTTGCCATCTGCAAAGTAAGATTCAGTTAAACATGACAAAGTAATGAAAATCAGTCCTCTAATAGTACACAGATCTAAATAATCATTAGAAATCCATTAGAGAGCATTAGAAATTTTTTTTCTAAGAAAAATTTAATTCTCTGACCTTATGATGAGCTGCATCCAATATAAATTCTGCACGAATACTATTATTTTCTGGACTTCTGTAATCAAATAGTGAATTCGTAAGGTATGTCATCCCTTTTGCACTCAAATTTTCTCCGCAATTAAAGAAGGAGGCCTCCTTCATGAGGTAGTATAAAATAATAAGGCAAGGGAGAAAAAAAACACAGTCAAGTTAACAGAGCAGTTTCAATTCTGTCATAACATGCTAGTGACATGGTAGCATCCCTCAAGAGCATATTTCACTATGAATGAAGACAATTAAAATAACTTTATTCAAATAATGCTGAAGTTCCTGTCCACTCCCTCCACATTTTCAAATTAATAAAAACGGCCTGAGCCAGTGAATATTATACAACCCATGATACAGAACATATCAGTTTCATTTTAACAGAAAATAACCTCACATCACCTCAGATCACTGTTACTCCGAATACTGCTCCATCCTCTTAACTACACACAATCTCGTCACTACATACTCCATTTCTCTGACTGAGCAATGTCTTTCAGATGCTTTATCTATCCTCTTCATGATAAGCAGTTATTTCAATGTAAGACCTGCTTGCTACCTTATCACTCTTCTTTATTCGTCTAGATTTTTACATGCCTTCTCCATACTCCAAACCCTCTATCCTTCTAAAATCAACACAACTTCTCCATCAAGAGTTATTCTTCCAAAAAGGTTATTTATATGAGATTGAGAATAGATGGTAGGAAAAAAATCAGTCACATAAAACAAAGCTGGAACCTTCATGAAAGGCACAATCCCAACTATAGCAGTACAGAAAGAACAGGTGAGGCAGTATCAACATCACCACCATTCTCACAAAAGCAGGTATTTTCTTAAATTCACACCCTAGAGGGTGGCAGAAAAATGAAAAAGAGCAAAAACCCAAATGCCTCTTATCAACTAACCTACAGGAAACTCATTCACTCACCCATTCACCCCAATCCAAAAGTCATCTCTCTCATGATCTTTATACCTCACAATCTCATAGTTGTTGCAGACCAGGCTGCCGTCCACCCTCACATCACCAACCATGTCTCCCTTGTATTTAACAAGGCCAGCAGGGCATCTTTTACAGTTGGCTCCTGCTTGCTTCCCCAGCCTGCCTTCTGGAAAAGCCTATGTCTATCCATTGCAGCAGCACACCAGTCATGTAGTGTGTCCCACCACACCTCTATAATCCCAATAACGTCATACTCTACAGCTGTGTAAGGATATCGAATTCTTCTTGTTTGTTTTCTGTGCTGCATGCATTTGTATACAAATGCTTGAGATGAATGCCAAGGCATGCTGCTCTCACAGGGGAAGTATAAGAACCTGTCCCATCATACCTATCATAGTGCAGTATGTGATCATTGTCCAAATAAGGAGATACTTGACATTAGTATACAGTCACTTTATATTTTCTTCCATGTTCTTTTCTCCTTAAAATACTTTCTAAGACTTCACAGAGCATCACGGAGTAACATTCAACTAACATCAAGTTAACAGGTCTGTTGTTGGCTGCATTATTTGTTTTTATTTAAACACAGATAATAATTGCTGTTCTCCAGTACTTTATGGCACTATTCTATCTATAGTTCAACCAAAAATCCTCATTATTGAATTTATAATTTCATGCACCACTTCATTAAATATTTTAAGACTAGTTCATATGGATACCTGATTTTGTCTTATTAAGCAATTCAAGCTTTGCTTCTATTTAAAATATAGAAGTTAATACTGTTTTACTCTTTCACTTGATACTGCTCTCATCACCCTTATTGAAAAATAAGGCAAAACACTAATCCAATATTTGAGCCACACTTCTATTATATTTAGAGTACAGTGTTCCCATTTCTTCCCTCCAATCTTCTGTTGATTTAAGTACTTTCAAAGGATTTCAACTGTGTTTTAATTTGTTATGCAAGATTAAAGTATGCAGACACACATAATGATGGGGGGTAGTGGGGTTGTCAAAAAAAAGCCTTATGTTTTGCAGCTTCCTCTCCTAGATATTTGTCTTTCCAACTGTAAGGAATAGACATTGAGTTCTATATTCCAGTGACACATTCAAATAATTTAAATCACAATTGGCAACAGCAGCCTTCCTAAATTCTTGCAATCAAATATTTTAATAAATAGATTGGCCTTCTATGATGCAGTGACTACATCAGTGGACAAGGGAAGAGCTAAGGATATCATCTATCTGGACCTCTGTAAGGCCTTTGACACGGTCCCCCACAACATCCTTCTCTCTCAACTGGAGAGGTATGGATTTGACGGGTGGACTGTCCGGTGGATGAGGAATTGGTTAGATGGTCGCGTCCAGAGGGTAGTGGTCAGTGGCTCAAGGTCCAGATGGAGATTGGTGACGAGTGGCATCCCACAGGGTTCCGTATTGGGACTGGTACTGTTTAATATCTTCATCAATGACATCATAGACAGTGGGAGCGAGTGCACCCTCAGCAAGTTTGCAGATGACACCAAGCTGA